ACCTTAGGTTTAGTATTTGCGTGTCTCAACTATTTTCCTGAGCACAGACACACACACACACACACACACACACACACACACCTCCCCCGCATTCCGTCCCCAATTTGGCTGTGAAAATAATGCCAGGTGTCTACTCGTCACTCGAAATAAACAAAAGGGATGAAACACAGCACAACAGGTAGGAAAATGTGCATTATTAAGATATGTGTTTCTTTCTCTAATCCCTAGACTCAAGAATAAATGTGTTTGTTTTTTTAACTTTAACCAGTCATTTGACCGGCAGTACGTAATATCGGTCCAATAACAGTGTAACATGGGCGTAATACGGGTGATATCATGTGTAAAGTGGGTCTAATTACAGCATAATTGGGATATATTGGGTTCAATACGGGTGTAATAACAGTTTAATTACCGTGCATTATGTGTCTAATAACAGTGTAATATGGTTGCAATGGAACATGGGAATAATAAGGGTGTACTATTGGTGCAAAAAATGGTGTAAAAGGGGTGTATTGATGTGTAACATGGGTATAATAACAGTGTCATGAAGAAAATAGCAATAAATAAGTTTTCCCAAATATTCATATGTGATTTCCCATTTAGGGTTTAATGAAAGCCGCCTTGAATTTTTTTTAGTATTTAGAAAGGACATCATTTGATGCAAAATATTAGGCAGCTATAGGCACATTAATTGAGGTAAGGGGAGAAAAATGTGGCGACGAAAAAAATCCTAAAATGCAAATCTAAGGCACTTTGCAAGCAGCATATATTAAATAAAGCAGTATACGTGCAGGTCGTATCACTGGATATTAAAGCCTTTCTACCTCCTGTCGTTCCTTCCCTTTCTTAATAATCAGAAGCCTTTCTGGTTGCTAACAACACTCCACACACAGACGCTGTGTGTGAGTGTGGGTGCCTGTGTGGGCCGTCTAATAGGTGCCTGTGTAATTGGCTGGTTGACAGGCGGATCACTAAAAGGCGTGAGATGAAGGGCTCAGGGGAAGAGGCGTCCATCCTCACTCTCCTTCTGTTGCCATGTCACCGTGACTAACACACATCTGTAAGCAAAACCTACGGAGGCTGCTCTGCAATCTAAGCTTTCACTATTTAATACCTTGGAAATTGAAAATTCAGTATGTACCCTGTTTATGTTTGATATCGTACTTCTGTGTTTTGAAACAACAAATACACAATATGTATTAGACAGAGCCGTGGAGAGAGGGGTGAACCGTCAGTGTAGATTACATAAAGCAACTGCTGCTGTACAGTGACACTTGTAGGTCATTTGTGAGTTGGGAAGTGTGATTTATGATTATTTTACTGGCAACTATAGATTGCTAGAGGCTTGGCAGAGTATTAAACTAATGTTTAAAGGTTCTGTACTCCCCTGGGGGAGAGAGAGACAGAGAGAGAAAGACCATGTGGATGAACGAGAGAGTCGGAGCCTAAGAATATAGAGGGATACAAAAAGGTTATGTGATCATAAAGCCTTTAGTAAAAATCGAATATGTTCTGGTTTATCAGTGATGTGTTTTTAATATTTAGTAGGATTCACAATATTGGAGAAATGTATCTTTTTTTTTTATCATAAGGCCCAATATGGGGAAAAAATAGGGGGTATATTATGCTCATTTTCAGGATCATATTTGTATGTTGGGTGTCTGCTGTGACATGCATTAATGTTGAACTGCCTGTTCCTGTATCTGGAATCTATTTATCTGGAAGTTGTTGTTTTTATAGATGCATTACAGTATGCCATTACAATAGCAACCCAAACTACAAAATATCTCTCCAGCAATTTAAGGATGTTTTGAAAATGAATAACATATTCATTTATTCCCTCGTTCCCTCTCTCATAGGGAAAACGTACATATGTTCAAGAAACTATTCCTAAGTTTTACTACGAAAAAGAAAAAGTTTACTTTTCAGGACTTGATGCCCAATGTGAAGGCAGTGTGTTCACAGCCCAATGCATCCAACAAACACCATATGCTACTTTTGAATTTGTTCAGACTCCTAAAAGCAATTATATTTTAACAGCCTGTCCGGTGGAGAAGAAAAAGAAAATCAACTTGCCAGAAAATAGCCCAAAGTAGTAATCAACATCACTTTTGAAAGAAGAGAAAGTGGCATATTGATATAACTCTGGGCGTTGTCCTATCACTGTGAATGAAATATTTAAAAAAGGAAATGTCCACTCAGGACAGAGATATTGTAGATGTTTCACTGGTTGGAGGGATCTAATCTTAGAGGGGCCCAGTGCGGATACAGCCTGATCCCTCGTGGCTTTTCTGCACTTTTTAATGTCCTACTTTAAATCCCCAGCAGCTGCTCTGCACCTTATCCTGGGCTCGGACATCCCTGTTAGGACAGCAGGTGAGAGCAATGTCAGCCCCCTCAGGATATCAAATTAAATGACGTTTTACGGATGCAAACTAAAAAAGCTTATTTCATATAACTAGCTTTTCTTTTGTTTGAAGGAGGGTCCTTGGGTTGTTGGTGTGTACAGCGTAGATACAAAATGCTGAACGGATGTTATAGTCGATAAACTCATGTTCTTTAAATGTACGTCCCTGTTTTTAAAGGGTTTCAAATCATACACAGGAAGTAACTGTTATATAAAATCTTTCCAGAGGTCTCTCCTTTGTATAGAAAGTGCGCCTCACAGGAAGATAATTTACTCCACAGCTTCACTCTTTGTCCAAAATACAAGGCCACTGGATCAATAGATCCTCTTTATGTCAAAGATATTGAGCGACCGTGCCCAATTACAATAACTCTGAGGAAATTTTGAGATAAAATTAAACTAAAACTTGTGCTTCCTGGAAAATGGACCCACAGCTGCAAGAAAATATCCTATTATTTACGAAATAGTCCTAATCAAGGTTCAAGGTTCGAGGCTTTTATTGGTCATACGAACATAGCTACAGTGTAGTTATGACGATGACAATCTTAGGTCACAGGCTCCTCCAACAGTGCAACACAATAACACAGGAAAACAGAAAGAAATAGTGCAAGTAAATAGTAAATACAAAAAGTGAAATAGTGCAATAAGAGTCTATAATGCAAGTTATTGGAATATGATATACAGTATTAGATCAATCATGTCTAAGTAGCAGCCAGATTAATGTTATGGATGTTGTTTCAAAGTTCAGGTGTTTAATAGTCGTATGGCCTGTGAGATGAAACTGAAAAATATTGTCGCTATGGCTTACAGAAAGTTAAAAAAACTAAATTCACAGGCTACAGCTTCTTTTTCAGTATACGCGTATTAGGAACGAAAACTGTGTGAGGAGAAATGTGCTGAAAGGCCTAAGAAATCGGAACCTATAACCCAGAAATGTGTCAGCGACTCAGCACTTCCAGTTCGCTCGTCTTTAGGTCAATGTTATTTGTAATGTGGTTTTCATTAGATGCCTGATCCAAGGTCTGTACAAGCTTCCTCCTTCCTGACAGTTCACAGTGTGCCGCTGCCCGGTGTAATTCAAATGTACCGCCGCGTGCAGCACAGACACACAGCTGCTGCCCAGCCGCAGCACCGGAAATGGAACTGCTGGGAGAAAAACTGACTATCAGAGATGTAACGTTATCTTTGATAATATTTAGTCTCCTCATTTTTCGTCAACGAAAGTAAAGAGAGATTTTGGCATAGTTTTTATTTAGTAAACTACATTTTCGTCTCGTGACTTTTCGTCAACGATATTGCATGATGATTTCGTTAGTTATTGTTTACTGCCGTCGGTGCCGTCTCGTCATCGTCTCGTTTTAGTCATGGAAAAAAAGGTCGTTGACGAACATATTTCGTCATGGTTTTAGTCAACAAAATGAAAACTACTACTGAACATAATCACATCAAACATTAGCCATTGTTAGCTTAGCGGTGGTGAACTGAAGTCACTTGACCGTTATGTATTTAGTATATAGACTGGCATTAGCTTCATACTTCTGGAAATTGCATTTACGGTTAAGAAATGATAAACTACAAAGATGCGTCCTACCTGCACCACTCTATAAGGGAGAGAGTCATTGTTCGCACTCCATTGCAAGACCATTATTATCTCAAATTCACAGTTTCGTGTGTTGGATCAAAGTGAGGCGGTGTGTGAGGCTGCAAGTGTAAGATTGATTAAAGTAATACCTTGAGTCCTCCACACTCTGCTGCTGATCCCTGGTCCACGCCCGTAATGTAAATCCCCAGCGCATATTCTGCCCCCCCCCGGATCATCAGACCCAGAGACCGGCCGTCGTCCAACACCAAGTTGACCTATTAAAGACAGAAAGAGAAAGAGATAAAGACGGCAGAAGCAGGGGTTAAATATTTAAACGAACCAGACACTTCTTAAATATCAACATTTCAAATGACATTTTACGGTCTCAATTGAGCTGTGGGGCTGCTCACATTGAAATGGAAATGTGAAACACACCGCATAAAAGAAATGACAGCCCTGCTCTGAGCTGGGATTTGCCGGATGAAAATAGAGAGTTTCAGTGTGGTGCCTCAGAGCTATTACGTAATAAAAAGGGATGTTGTTCTGATTGGAGAAAGGAGTGTTTGAATTGGTCAATCCGTTTGTTTACAAGGCTCATCCATTTCAATCCCTGTGATAAGAGAGGAACCATTATAACATAATCCACCAACCGGTATTAATTGGATACCTACAAGATACCCCTGGTGTTTATACAGTACTTTAGCAGGAAGCTTAAAGCCTTAGAGTCGAAGACATCTTTACCACGCTCAATTACCTCTGTTTCGGTTCACCTGTACTTGGAACTCTTTTATAGGCGATCCTCAAGTTCTCAGTGTCTTAATATCTTGTCTTAAGAATGTCTTAAAATCTTAAAATTGGGAAATTTAGAACCAAATCTGTGTCACAAACGGGTGTTCACCCATCAATTGTTGCCACAACTCATTAGACATAATAGAGGATTGGAATGGCCATCATATGCTTCCATAATAATGTGGTTCGCCAAGAACTCTTTGATCAGGAAAAACCTATTTGCTGATCTCCCATGTATTTAATTAAGCAGCGAACCTGCACAGATTAATGATGGTTTCCAAGCATCATATAGCAACATACTACAGGTCTTAACCTCCCAGCCCGGCTTGATATATGAAAGCCTTTGAAAGCTTTGAGAAGGCCTATTTGCTCTCTCTTCCGGAGGCTATAGGGTTTGATGAAGGGTTCTTTGTCTGATAAAAACTGCTTTATACTAACCCACAGGCAGTGATTCCATCAGGTATAATCTGCTCTTTTTCGTTTGGGGCCTCTGGGTCATCTCATCAAGAGTTACCCTCAACTCAGCCGCTATCTGAGCCTTTAGACCACTTAATTCAGTAATCTTCTAATGTCAAAGCCATCTTTGTTCTTGGCACACACCATTACATCCTGGTGATTGTCAAACGTTGTAATTAAGTGTCAATCTGGACGATTTCCATTTAAATCAACGTAGTTTTATATCTATCGCCTAATGACGTTACACAACAGTTTTTGAGCTTACAGGGGCAGCATTAGCTCAGTCCGTAGGGATATGGCTCTGAAACTGATAGGGTCGCCAGTTCAAGGCGTGATTAGACCAAATATGATTTCCAGTCCACCTCCTGAGCACTGACTAGCTGCCTTTGAGCAAGGCACCGAACCCCCAACTGCGTGTCCATGTGTGTATTTCAACCTTTGTGAAATGTAAAAAAATAAAAGAGTGAAGAATTGAAATTCCCCTCTAGGATTTTTAAAAGTCTTTCTTTCTTTCTTATAGAGAACCACAGTGACGCGTCCTAAAACCCGGAAGTAAACTCCTTCCGGTTCCTTCGTCAAAAACGCAATGCAATTTCTCCATAGGATTTTGGAAAATAGCTGGAAATAAGGTCTGTGGTTGACACACATTTACATGTAAGAGACAGATCACGTTTTGTTCAGCCGGATAATATCCACATGTCTACCCTACTTTTATAATTTTCGAATCATAAATCTAGTCGCCAAAAGCAAAATGCTAACGTTATGCTATAAACTAACTACAGCAGGGTCGCTCCTTCAACGTCACGCCAACTTAAGATCCATATTCAAACATACAGATTCTAAATGGAACAAGTTGAAGCTTTTGTTTGAACAGTCTGCAGGAGGCAGGTACTTGCTGTCAAGCAGAACAGGGCAAACAAACTTAGAGGACTGTTTACGTGTTCGGTGTAATGACGTAAAACGGCCTCGACAACTTCTGTAGTCCTATTCATCCACTTGTTAACAACCATCATTTTTCAGACACGTAAACCCTTCAAAATTCCCCAGCGGGGTCACTGCTGACCTATTTAATGTTGCAGAACAAAACGTGATCTGTCTCTTCAATTTGTGTCAACCACAGACCTTATTTCCAGCTATTTTCCAAAATCCTATGGAGAAATTGCATTGCGTTTTTGACGAAGGAACCGGAAGGAGTTTACATCCGGGTTTTAGGACGCGTCACTGCGGTTCTCTATTGCCCAGGATGAAAGTATTGGAATATCTGTATGTTTGCAGTGTTACGAACAAGGATGTTTGAAGTGACATTCAGAGATAAAATGTCAATGACTACGAACATTTCCTTCTTCTGCAGCCTCACATTAAAGCTGCTAACTGGCGAAACATGTTGACTTTGAATGGAAGTATTCAGGAAAACGCACTCCGTTTTTTCAGGGAGCCTTACAGTGACCATTAGCGTTCATCAAAAGTGCATCTACAAAACAAGATGACAGCCTTCTTCGCATTTTTTGACAGCAAATGGTTTTGAAATATTGCAGGGGGGTAATTGAAGAGTGAGGATTAACCACTGTGAGCTGATTAAGAGCGACGGAATACAAACCTCAACTTCTTAGCCAGGTAACCAACTTTCACTGTTCACAGAATCAGGCCAGGACCAGCATACATTAAGACCATGATTGAAAAAGGCCAATTAGTGCCTGACTTTTAATTAAAATTACAGTAGTATGTTATGCAGCCTCCAGCATTAAATCACCTTTCAAATTAAACCATATTTGTTTTAACCACCAGCGAAAAGGATGAGGCCAAAGCCAACAGGAGTCCTTCAGGAACCCTCGATCAATTGACCACAATTTTTTAAACATTCATTTCAAGTAAATGTATCCCTTTTTTTGTTGATTGAACTGAAGTAGAACAATACTTTTTAATGAAATCAACAGCCTTTAAAAACACATTGTCTATCATTCTGTATACTTGGATGAACTCAACTCAGCGGTTTCAAATCTACATTTATTTGGAGAGCAAAGACATTAAAGTTTTTCACAAGGAGAGTTCGAGTCGTGCCAGACTTTAAATGATACATCTCCCTCCATCACAAAGGGGCCTATTGATTACTTGGTTTGATCCTAATGAAGCTGTCTCTTTCCCAAGATTGAAAAGCGGGCTGAGTAGCACCTTGGCAACTACGAGATGACACGTAAGCAAATATCTCGATTAAACAATGTGAGTTGTATCCCTACCATTGTCCCTCCGGTGAAGGTAAGGCATCTGGCACTGAAATCCTACTTTCCTCCAAATCTTAAGGCACGCTGCAGCGGTCTTTATTTTAATTTTTTAATAATAACTGTCTGCTTATTGGAGCTGAGCCAGCCACTGGGATCATGGCTGATTCATGCTCTCTGTGACATTCATGCAGGAGAAGGTTTTAATTACGAGCCTCATCCTTCTTTTATTGGCAGCCCTTAGGAGCGCGTATAGATCATAGTGTTCTCTGGCATCAGCTGCTATCACTGAATCACTTTAATAATGCTCATTTCTCTTTAAGATTAGTCATGTGTGTTGTTTGCTTTGTTAGTAATTGAAGCCTTTGCATTGGACAGACAAATTGATGTAATCACAGGAGGATATTATAATATTACACACATTATAAACAGTTTAATTAGCGCTGCATGTGTAATTTGCATTAGTTTTGAATTTAAATGACATCTTCAAAAGAACCTTAAAATCAGAAATTGACATTCGGTTTTTTCTTTTTAAAAGCAAAGAAGGTTCAATGGTGAAACTATCTTATAGACACTTAATTACGATTTCTTAGCGTTATCTGCATTGCAATAACTTCAGCCTGAATGAATGGATCTGGAGCAGGTAAGATTAATGTGTGGCTCCTGGCTGCTAAAAAATGGAAACTTCTCGTGTAATAAATCTTTTAGCTCTGACAGCTCCTTCGCTGCAGGTTGTAAGGTGGTGACAGGGTGGAGTTTTGTGGGACTGAAGGTACAATTACATTTATGGTTTAAGTTTTTTTCATCTACTGTATGTCAATTACTGAGACTTACTATTGTAATTTATTTTAAAGGACATAGTATGCTAATTTTCAGGTTACAATTTGTATTCTGTGCCTCTCCTGTGACATGTCTCCATGCTTTAATGTTCAACAAGTTCTTTATTTTTCTCACACTGCCTGTGCTGCAACACTTCTTTTCACCCTCTGTCTGAAACCAGAGCCCAGTCTGCTCTGATTAGTTAGCTAGCTGGCTCTGTTATGATTGGTCAACTGCTTGGAGATGTCCCGCCCATCATGTACAATGTGTTGGAGCGCTAGCCAATAAAAGCGAGAGTTACAAAGTGATTATATTATTAATACAGACTTCCATTAAAGTCCCCCTGGTCACATTTGTTGGAATCTGATTATTTGGTGAGCATTTTAATAGTTTTCACTGAAAAAAGGGGCTTTGCAAGCTAAATTAAACAACTATCCTTTAAGTAATTAACTGATTTATTAGACCCAAAAATATTCAGACACTGATTTGGTTGAATGTCTGGGAAAAAACGTCATTAATTGGGGGAGGTAATATGAAAGTAAGGGTTAGGGTAGGGTTTTAGATAGTTTGAAGGTGTGTTCAAAGAATGCTGCTGTTACAGTGGCAAAACTTGACATTTAATAAGACATTTATTATATTTTCTTATGGAATTTTATGATTTATAGATCAAGGACTTTTATATTATGTTGCTTACTTTAGCTTAGCTTCAGGGCTCTGCAGTATGAGTCTTTCGCCCCCTAAAAATAGAAATGTGTGAACCGGATAAATCATTTAGGAGCACACGGTGTGAGTAGATTAAACTGAAGTCCAGCCTCCTCAAAGATCGTTTTTCATATATTCTTCTAGTCTTTTAGGCCGAGGGCTTAAGAAACACGAACAGAGTGAAGCGAGATCTAAATATCAATACAACATATTGATATATTACCATCTATCATTTCCAAAGTAAGCTTATTCTGAATCCAGTAGATTACTAACTCAAAGGAATTAGTGAAATGTTATGTTGTATATTAGCACATTTTCATTTACACAGTACACATACTATATAAGGAGTTGGCAGTTAAAATACCAGTCAAGCCATTGAAGACCACCTAACTGGATTATTTTCCATTTAATATATATATATTTTTTTGTATTACTATTTACTTGCACTATATTTGTCTGTTTATCTGTGTTTTGTGTTGCACTGTTGGAGAAGCATGTGACACAAGATTTTCATCGGCATAACTACACTGTAGCTATGTTCGTATGACTAAATAAAGAACCTTGAATCAGATTAAATTAATTCTAAAATATGTCAACCTTTAAATCAGCTTGCAATTTAAGTGTGTAACATAATGGCGTAGTGTCTGGATACTAAGGGTGTTATATAATGACATAGTGTCCAGATAATAACTAGGATCCCCATTTCCATACTTCTCCACTGTACTGGATCTTACCTCATGATTGTAGAGAAAAAGATGGAGCACACAGGCACATGTACAATACAGGTGTTCAATATATTTATTTTTTAATAAACTGCATTAGTTGAATACCTTTTACTGTGCCCATAACATTTATTTTTGTAGTCATATTTCTCTTATTTAGGATTACATGTGCTTGGTAAAAAAAAGAAAAAATTAGGGTGACGCTCCTAAGCATAATAAAGCTAGCATTTTGCAAATGTTAAACAAATGAAAGTCATGGCCACCAATAAAATATGTTTTTTATTTATGTTTACTATTTTTAAGACACAGCTCCACATTTCCATCACTCCAGTGTTGTGTTCCCCGTGTCAACGCTCACCTTCTTCTCGTCCCCGTCCTGCAGAAGCTGCATGTTGCTGCGCCGCTGGCTGTCAGTTCTCCTCAGGGTGGCGCTGCGATGCACCGTCAGGTCAGGGGGAGGGGACACGCTCCGGCCCTGAGGGTCCACCCAGGTGTAAACGTGGTTGGTGACGTAGCCGCCTGGAATCCGCCCGACTGATCGCACGGAGAGGCTGAGCTTTTTATTGCCCTTCAGCACCTGAGGAGAGGAGAGTCAGACATTTGTAATTCTAACAACAGAAATAATTGCAAGTTCAAAGAGAAAAGTGTAATTCCACACTTTAATCTATGTCATTGATTTCAAAAGGCTCTCAAATATGCCTACATAAATACATTCAGGGAAAACAAACACAGTGAGGTTGAAGCAGTGAATTTCAAAGTAGGACACATTTGGTAGAAAAGTCAAGATTATAGAGAAACAACCAATCCAGTAGCACCTGACTGCAGAAACTCCAAATGACCAAACAGATCCCCCCCCCATCGCACACACAACAAACATATAACGTATTTTGACTGAGAATTGCCCCAGGCTGTGCCTCATTGCATTCTGATAGCTTGCAGTATGTGTAATCCCTCCACAGATCAATGCATTCCCATGTGCTCTGTGGTTTGAGAAATCAGACCGATTGGGTTTTAAGATCTTAATGATCAAATAATCCTTGTGCAGCACAAACTCAAACAGAACCTCAGCTTTCATTTCAGACTAGAGATGATCAAAAACACTGCCGTTATAAAAGCTGATATTATTCCAGCAGAGTCAATTAAAAAGTCTCTACGTGAAAATATTACAGGCTAAAATGTAAGCCACAGGCATACTTCACAATGCATTTAAAAGAAAAAAATAAGACATTGTTAGGATCCTAGACGCTAATAACAACATTTCCCAAATATTCATCCCCCTTCTCCTTCTTCAGTTGGAGAGTAAAGGTTATACCAACGATTGAGTGAAGAAAGCTGATCATGTTAAATAGGAAAGCAGTTGGGGGAGAGTTCCTCTGGACAACGCCTTTAGGGATATCTCCAATGTTCAACAAGGTTACAGAAAAGTCAGGTTTCAGGTGTGGAAGCTCTGTGATGGAATGGCCCACTACTTTCCAAAAAGGCTTTACATGTTCTTGATAGTTACAGGCTCGTTATGAATGAGACTTTATCAAATAATCTGTGTTGCTTTTGGGAGAAACTGTCACCGTATACTGTTATTCATCATTCAGCCATTTGCATTTCTGCTTCACAATCCAACATTCATATTAAAGGCTTTCAATTTGCTTTTGTTAAGACATGTCATTCCAGTTGTCAGTCGTATTACTTTTATGTTAAAAATAAATCTAAGAGGCCTAACCATGATACCTCATTGAGGGCTTGTAGCTGACTCCATGTGGTAACAAAGACTTTCCAAAGTAGCTCCATGTTCTTTACCAAACAAATTGTCTCTCTATCTTCTCTTAAGTGAACAACATTAATCTCTCCTCATCAGTCTTCTGCCGACACTACGAGCAAGGTCCTACTAAATCCTTTAGTCGGCATGCCGATTAACATATGCTGCAAGGAACAGCTCAAATTATTACTTGTCAAAGTGCTGCAGATTGCAGAGGAGCCTCGTCTCCTGGAGCACAACGATCGCGGCTGAATCAATTTCACAATCCGGATGTGTGCTGAGAGATAATAACTTCAATTCTGAGGCCACAAAACCCTGTCAGCAGTGAAGATCACTGACTGGACCACTCCCTCCCCCTCCCACCCCCCATCTTGGAAGCATCAATGCAGAAGTTGAGATAGAACTTTACAACAGAGAAGTTCAGCATTACATAAGCAGGCGCATTGTTATATAAAATGAGAAACCTGCGTACAGAAAGGCACAAAAAACTAAAAGCAGCGTGCAGTCCAAAAAGTGCCTGTCTTCTTGATTTTATTATTGTGTCTAAAATGTGACAGCGGGGATGTCGAAGGCTATCTCCTTTATTTGAACAATGCACATTTCCACCCAATGACATGTGTCACAACCCTCTGAGCCAGCACACATCACCAGGGGGTCCTGGGGAATAAAAATGTAATCATGGTCACACCGTTTGCAGACTGAACATGCTGCAAAAAAGGAAACTAGGGTAATGTTTCATGGAAAGGAAATGGGTTCACAGATATACACATAGTCCTGTCTCAAATATGTTGTTGGTTAAGGCGTCCCAACGTCCAAACTAGACTTTAATCAACACCTGATTTCCTGTCTGTACAATGTAGTGTGTACTAATCATAATAGGGCTTCACAATAATAAAAAAAAAAACTACATACAATGATTATGGTGAGGAACCAAATAAGTATAACATTTGTTATTAGTCCAAATTACAATTTCGAAACCATAATATGAAATATGTAGTACATACTGTAGACTACTAGTGAAAAAAAGTACACTATCATCATGTTTAGTTGTTTTAGGAAAGGAAGAAAGGTTCTATGTGCTGCAGATATCACTGCAGAAAAACTTCAAAGTAAGTTCGGTTTTTATCTCAAGTGTTTTTTCTTTATCTGCTGATCGTTTCTTCTCAGAACATTGGCTTCTTTCCTGGACACTTTGTCGGCCAGCCACAGAGCATCACTTTGATTCATAGCTGCAAAACAAAGCTTATCATAGTGCATGTCTGAGAAATGTAACTGCATTTGGGGGGAACGAAGGGAGAAAAGTGAAATGAGCAGTGTTGGGATTCAATGAGAAGCAGGGCGCCAGGGAGTTAGGACAACATGACACACAAGGAGAAACGGGAAGACGGAGCGTAATGGAGGGGGTGGAGGGGGGGGCAGGGGGTTTAAGCGGCTGCTCCATCATGTGAATAAGAAACGGAGGCAATCGACTAGCATCCGTACAGTGGTCCTAATGCGGCGTGTCTCCAGGAAAGTGCTGATTGTGACACTGGGCTGATGAAGCTCTGCTCCGCTTTCACACAGAACAAAAAGTGCTGGGAAAATAATGGAATATAAATAATAGCAGAGCGTAATGGGAAATGGCAGCGGCAGGTAAACTGTTTTCAGATGATGCCGCGGAAAAAACAATACGCTCTCATCAGAGTCTGGCAAATCCATTTCATACACACAAGCTGAGTGCAAAAAAGCCCGGCTGTAGAAACCATCCAGTTCAATCACTTAGAAACGCCCGGCCACACACTGTAGGAGATTTAAAGGTGCCTGGTGTCAGGAGAATTACCGTAAGAAATTACTTATGAGACATGAGGGATTCAACCGTAACCCAAGGTTGTGCAAAGAGCATTCAAATACCCTGCTGATGCTGCAAAGGCTTCAACTTGAGTAGTTAGGATGATATCATGAGCAAATCAACATGTTTGGTGACAACTATTTAATTGAGTCTGTAGATGAAATAAAACAAGTCAATAATAATAATAGACAACAGATTCCCTAGGCTGTTAAATCCTTTATACAAAATGAAGTGTGTTCCTTCTGCCTGATAAATAAAACCAATGTGAATGTTCTTGAATTTTTTGAAAATGTAGGTAATTACTGATTCTTATATTACAAATAGCTATTTATAATACCAGCTTAGACTTTATTTAAAGTGAGATCAAATGTATGAAAGTACAGAGTCACCTAAACAAATACTAAGTCTTAAAGTAAGGAGACTTAGACAACAAGAATGACCCAAATGATTTCAAACTTGTCAATAAAAACAAATTAAGTAGCATCGATTATGGAGTAACAAACAGAAGTGAGTGCCCTTGCACACAATATAATGTTTTGGAAATGTAACTACTGTAGCATAAGAGCTCATATATTCCTTGCATATCATGCTAAAAAAATTCTTGAGAATGGTTAGTGCTTTTCTCTCATTAAAGAAAGGATTTATTTCTGTGCTCTTCTATAGAAATACAATCTGAAATGTGTGTTTAAATCATGAATTAAGTTGCTAAGTTGGCAACACTCCAACTGTATTCAAACCCCCTCCAAGGCTCTACCTGAGGATCAACAGAAGAACTCTAAAGTCTCTGCTTTCTCCAGGGTTCAGACGAGGCGGCTTTGGACAGGTGGATTTATGCGAGTAAAAGAAAAAAAGGCCCACCTGTCGTCCGTTCAAAGCGTGTCTTCTTTGCAGGGCACATGACTTGGCTGCAGAGCTGAAACCACTCCACGCTAATTGTTCCCTGTAATTGAACACGCTTGATAAGATGTCCCAAACACACAGAATGCAGAGGTAAACACGGGTTTATCAAAGCGTGCAATCTTTGCGCACAGTCACACACACAGATCAGATGTATTGAAGTGACACGGACACACAAAGCACAGTGAGGGGAAAGGAGCCAAGCAAATTGCCTTTCATCCACTTTATTCACTGCTGTCTTAACAGATCTGTCAACCAGTTGATCTGTTCACACAAACAAAAACACATGGCAATGATCATTCTAAGGATACTACTAATAGAGGAGTACAACCTCTTTTGTGTACTTTTTTTAAATGTAATATAATTTAACTGGTACCTTCTATTTTTGTATTCTTCTCTTTCCTGCTATAACTGTTTCATATTTTAAGTTTTGGGAATAATAACGATAAGATGTTCAGATTCAGACTTTCCTATTCCAATCACTTACAAAAACAGATAAGAGGACACACAGAAGGACAGACAGATGATCCTATTATTCTGCTGTAAATTAAGAATACAAAATATACTCTTAACTTAACCAACCACTAAAATTGAATGAAAAACTGGGGAAGTTACAGATTTCTCAATTAATGTATCCCTGTATTGTCTGACTGCCTTATGTGATGGCAAAATCCAAAAAGTATCACATATGTTCATCTTTCCTCCACAGATAATATTAACAATTTATGTAAAGAATAATTTACATCATAATGACCGCACAAAGGGATTATTTTTTGCAATTTCATTTTGAATATTTCAAATAGGTTTCCTCCAATCTGTTTATCCCTCAAAGCGAGGAAGGCACGGCTGCAGGCTTCTCATCAACATGCCTGTCAAACAGCAAGCTCAGACCACACACACACACACACACACACACACACACACACACACACACACACACACACACACACACACACACACACACACACACACACACACACACACACCAAGCAGCGACTTATGATGTCTGAATTCTGAAACCAATTGCTGAAGTGCCCTAAGACCCAATTATGATCTGTTCAGAAGGCACTACTTGAAGACTGGAGAGGCATCCAGCAGCGCAACATGAGGAAGGCTCAAATTGGGGAGCAATGCCCCCCGAAGCGAGAGGGCGACAACTTATCCAGTTTGTAGAGTTTGATTTTCAATATCAGTCAAGTCCTGGCTTGAAAAACTGTGGAACTAGCACCCCGCTGATATCAGGAGAGAAGAAAGTTGACACATCTTCCGTCAGGTGGTTTTTTATACTGAAAACCAACCTGTTTCGACTGCATATATTTAAAGCTAATGTCGTAGCACTTAATGTAAAGGAATCTCGCCGTTTTGATTTTCTATCTTCATGGCATATCTTTATCTTCTCTGGATAAAAGCATCAGATAAATGTAAAGCAAAGAAAGAAATACATGTCCAAACTAGACAAGGCATGTATAGACTGCAGCTGAAAAGGGAAGAAAAGTTGTATCTACTTCAACTCAACAACATAACTTAAAGGAAAAGCTGATAACCCTGAATTAACTGCAGGTACAGTATAGTGGCAAATAAAATCATTGTCCAACTGAAGCAGAGCATATCAATGACACGCATGCATGCGAGCACAGGGCTTGTGGGAATAAAGAGAGCCTGCCACATCCATATGTGTGAAAGCGATGTAATGGCCATGAGACCGGCTCCTTTAAAAATCTTTGAAGACTGTAATGAAGTGTGAAAACACATCTCTCTCTAAATCAAATAGAATGATTGTTTTTCTCAGTAAACGTCTCTATAACAAACTAATGCTTGTGTTGGTGGCAGTGTTGAAAATAACTGCTCAATTAAGAAGTGTTAAAGCCATGGATATAACGGGCTCGTCTCAAACCTTTTTTTCAAACATTTGGATTTGCTGGCTCTAAAAACAACAGTGTCAGGCAACATTACGGCTAAGAAACCTACACCTCTGGTTCTGTAAAGTCGCTATTAAACGGCTCCGATGGTACTGCATTTTAATAAAAGTAGTAGTAGTAAATCCAAATATGATTTTAAACGAGTTGTGAATAACAAATACAATTTTCCGCAAAAAGCTAAACTAAAAGAAGGAAAGTGCAGATTCACATTTAGAATAATTTGAGCCTGTCTTCAAAAGAAAGTAGTCAATCTACAGTCTTTAATAAAGTATTGTTATTGTTGTTTTCTGTCATTAATCCACTGGGGTCTGTTTTTAAAAAAAAGTCACTAATGGAGTAAAAAGTGGCTAAATTAGCAACAGTCTTATTTACATAATAAATGAACACA